TTCTACCACTGTGAATGACAATAACATTCCTGAGGAGGAATTCTTGAGACAGGAAAGTCTTCATGCTAGTAATGTATTTTCTTCCAAGGTCAGGAGTTTAACACTTATGTATAGCCAGAAGGTAAATCAGCAATCTAGCCTCACATTCCTTAGCTGACAAAATGTGAAACTTGCACATTTTTCAGGATATGAGACTCCCCATAATAATAAAGACACTCAGTGTGCCTACCCACAGACCATCTCTCCAGTGTCCCAGGAGAAAGGCATCTAATGAATGAACAATTAGAGGAAGTCACATTGTTACAGAAGTCTGGTCTTTGCAAGCTGTAGAATCCCATATAGAGATGCAGTGTGATATGAATCAAAGGAGAGTCTGGACTCACTGAAAAGTAATGGCAGCTGGAACAGAAGAACAAAAAGACAGGAGGGAACAAACAAAGTGGAGGATAGGGCAGAAAAGAGGTAGTGAAATGAAGGTTTTCATATATGGCTGTAGGTTTAGCACACAGTCTGGACCAACCTGGTGAAGCCCGTTTCTAAGCCAAAAAACTTAAAGAGAAACCAAGCAGCAGGCAATACAGTGTCATTAACATGCTCAACATGAATGAAGGAATAAATGCTCTGTGGATATAGAAAGCATTTTTTCAAGATGAAGGGACTGAGGTTCACACACCTGGGCACAAGGATGAGTGCTCAAAGTAGAAGTGGTATTTAGTTGTCAACAAAAGGCATTGGCCACCTTTTCTGCAACTTTCCACCACCTTCCCCATATCCATCTTTAGTGACAACAGTGTTGTCAGTAAAGGCACGGATTCCTCCCTCATCTATTTACACATTAATTATCTGCCAGCCTCCCTCCTAGTTTCTCAATGGGAAGTGAAAGTTGACTCCCTGCTACCACACTAGTACACAGATGCAGCAGTTGCTTCCCTTTTCCCATCAGGGCTTTCATTTGGGTTACAGAAAGATAAACTTCAGAAAAATGCTGGGAAATAGAAAAAGATCATGAAATAGAAAAGTCAGAAGAGGAAGACCAAAATGTTCATGGATATTACGATATTCAAAGGATGAAATAGTGCGCAAAGGCCTCAACTACATCTTGTTTGAATCAGAGAAAGGTGAGAGGCATTCATCCCTAAAATCCTATCAGCTTCATGATGAATCAGCAAATGATTACTGGTGGTAAACATAACGGGAGAGAACTTCCCCCAAAGTGAAGAAAGATTTCATTCAGGAGCAAACACAAAGTATGGGAAACAATGGAGATGAGGAGGAAGAGATGATGAAAATGTGGAGGGAAAATGGCATAGTGAGAAATGATAATGTGAAAGTGATATGTAGGGAAAAAAGAGATCAGATAATGGGGGGGAGGGAAAAGGATGAATCATTTGAATTAGGAAAGAGGATAGGCAAGAGTGGGAAAGAAAAGAACTAAGAAACTGAATTTTTAAAAGCAGGAGCAAAATAACAAGCTGGTATTTTCTGACAGAATGAACATATATGGCACACTTTTTATTTATATAATATCTTCTGCTTCAAAAGGCGCATGGAGGAGATGCTCAGTAATTCTCCACCATAATTTGTCAGGATTATCCATGGAAGACAAAACAGAACAGAAAGCTTTGAATATGCACACTACCACCTGTTTAAGGGCTGTATCCACAACAACTAGAAACCAAGACAAAAATAAGTCACCATGTAACCACACTCCCCTGAGAAACTAGCAACATGAGATTTTTTTTTCAGTTTCTAACAACATACTCGGGCACAGTAACACTGAACCACTGAAGGTTAAAAAGAGGCATTTCAAGTAATGAAGTTGGTGGTTTATGTTCAAATTCTACCACAAGCTCCTTGAAGAGAAGGCTGTGTGGAGACCTCATAGCAGCCTTCCAGTATCAGAAGGGAGGCTATAGGGATGCTGGAGACAGACTTTTCATTAGGGACTGTAGTGACAGGACAAGGGGTAACAGGTTTGAACTTAAACAGGGGAAGTTCAGATTGGATATAAGGAAGAAGTTCTTTAGTGTGCGGGTGGTGAGGCGCTGGAATGGGTTGCCCAGGGAGGTTGTGAATGCTCCATCCCTGGCAGTGTTCAAGGCCAGGCTGGACGAAGCCTTGAGTGACTTGGTTTAGCGTGAGGTGTCCCTGCCCATGGCAGGGGTTTTGGAACTGGATGATCTTAAGGTCCTTTCCAACCCTAACTATTCTATGATTCTGTGATTCTATGACAACCCAAAACTCACACACACAGCTCAGTGCTTCAGGCCCCTTCAGACCAGACCAGAACATTTCAGCTACACAAAGACTGGGAAAGGTAAAGCTCAAAGAGTTGCCAGCAAAGATATTCTGGGGTAGTTGTTTTTTTTTTCTGTCTTTTGGGTTTTCTTCTTGTAGGAAACATCCAAAGTGAATTGTGGTTTGGATACAAAAGCTTAGTGAAGAGCAAGAAAAAAAAAAAAAAAGAACCCCCTCCATAAAATCATTTACATTGCAGTATCTTGAGGTACAGTAAAACCCTATGAGAAACACTTCCCTCTTGTTTCTTTCTGTGCTTCCCCCACACCTCCCCTTTAATTCTTTTCTTTTTCATTTTTTAAAATGTTTACTCATTTTGTGTTGGCTTGTGTAACTTGTCAGGCTCACATTCTTCAGATTTTCTTGCACAGACTTGAAGAAAAAGCTTACTACATAAAGCATCTATTTAAGAAAGAGGCCTCCTTATGACCAGAACAGAGTGTGCCACACTGTACTTACAAAAGAGCACCGTTAAAACCATGTATGATATTCTTGTGTTCTCCTTCCTTAATGCTACCAAATACACACAGAAACTGCATTGTCTCTTTTCTCATATGAACTTGAGTAAGAGGAACAGGCAGAGCACCTTCTCAAGGGACAGCTAAACAAAACTGTTGCACTATGGCATGCAGGGAAGTTAAAAGTTCACTTCATTCACCAAACAAAATGGATAGCAGGAAAGAAAATGTTAATTTAGCTCACCTCTACAGCATAGTGGGAGTCCAGAAATCTGCTCACTATTCTCCCAGAATAAAATTCAAAGCCATATTTGCTGACTTTTATTATTTCCAGTTTCACAAAAAGAACTCCCTAACAAACTGATCTGCATTTTTATCAGCTTTACTACCACAGGTAAAACTATAATCTAAATTCCATCTGTAAGGTGATCTGTTCAACTCCACTGTCTTCAAATTACAACTTTTAAGACTGAAAAGTCTTAGAAACTTATTTGCTGAAGTACAGCAACCCAAAAAAACAGGTTTTATTTTTTGTAAATATAATTTTGAGATGGAAATCGTCTGCTTTTCATTTTTACTGCTACATCTCAACACTTGTGAATTATGCTTTTTGTGATTTAGTTGATGGCCAGTAAATTATGTGAGCGAGTCACTAAAAAAAGGCCGGACAAATGTCTTCGTGACACATCTTTTCTGAGGAGCCTCTCTGGAACATTCATACATTGATCCCATCGCCTTCTGAACACTGGTTTCAGAGATTAGCACTATCAGTTAACTACACGCTGCTCTCAACTTAAAGGCCAAACTTGAAAGTGTTTCAGCAGCTTGTAAAGGGAAGCATCTTACTGATATTCACATAATGTTCATTTATTTTGCTTAAACCCCTCCACCTCTAAGAACTCTATTTGAAGTCAAACATGAAAAAGTATTTTCCACTTTCATTGCTCCTAGCCTAAGAAAAGGAAGAGAAAAAAATGTTACCAACTCTTCTTTTATCATTTACTTTTCTGAACTTATTTACCACTTTTTGCAATTAAAGGTATACTATAAAGATTGTCCTTCATAACTGGAAATGGCTTCTTCCTCCTAACTGAAGAAACCTGACTGCAGTCCTTCCAGCACCTTGTAGTCCAACAGAAAGGTTCAAGTACTGAGTAATTTCTAGTTCAATTCTTATGTTAAAACTCATTAACATTCTAATGGGAACAGAGAGAAGTAGATTATGATCTTTCCACCTGAGGAACAATTTCATCAGTCTGAAAAGTTAAGAAATCATGGAAAATGGAATTATGTTATCAGGGACTGGAAAGAAAGATCCATACTCAGTTGATGGCTTTATGCCATCACACCTCTAATTCTGGCAACACTAACTGTTAACATAGCTATACCTACTTGCACTACAGTACCCCAAACACAACAAGAACCTGCGCACCAGGACAGACCTGCATTTCAGGCAGAGAAAACTCAGTAAAGACCTCGAATTGCTATGCTGTAACTAAATTATGAGCAATATATGTTCACATAAAGCTATGCAAGGCCTACGTTGACTGCTAGGTTTGATAAAGTAGTAATACATACACTTAAGATACAGGAAAAAGTGACTTAAGACACCTTGTTTTACTGCAAAGTATGTGAATATCTGCATTTACTGGTTTGACTAAACCAGAGGAAATAAAAGGCTCTGCTATTCTATTCAATAAGGAAATAAACCAAGAGTATTAAAAGTGGCAAAGTCAAAATAAACAGAAAGTTGGTTGGCCTTTGTAGGAAAGTTAGAGAATTTAATTTCTGCACCTGCTTAAAAGAAACAAGCCTTGATCAAAGTACACCTGCAAAAAAAGAGTTCTGTAGACAATTTTCAACCTCTCTGACAAGGTTACTAACAATAAAATTACTCAGAAGAGTCAGGAGCATTTTGATTTCCTAACTTTCCTCAATGACTCTTACTAAAGACCCTGAAAGGCAATCACTTTACCCTTCAGCCTCTTTTTTGATGAAAGAATGCCAGAAGTACTGATATCCCTACAGGATTGTCTAACATTCTGCTTACATCTTGTGAAGCAGTTTTAACATACACATATAAAACACTAAAATGACTATTAGCAGTACAACAGTGTATGACAGACTGATGGAGGAGAATAAAGAGAGACATCCTTTTTAAGAAACAGGAACCACAAAAGATACATGAACCAAAAATGCATTTTTCCGATAACTTAGTAGTCCTTACAGAACATATATCAATACCTGCTGCTGCCTTTGCCTCCTCATTTGGGCAACTTGAGACATCATGATTTGACGATCCAGTAACTCCATTCTCTGCTGCCTCTGGATGTCAACTGTTGCTCCCATTCCCACACGAACTTCATTTGTTGGTTCCGCAGATGAGAAGATTGGTTCAAGAGTCCAAGAAAATATCTTTGCTACCCAGCTGGGCACACAAAGAATTCGATGAACTTTTAATATACTGCTATTGTAACAAATCCCAGAAACCTAAAATGAAAAATGAAACGTTAAAAAAAAACGAACCAAAATCAAAACAACAAAAAAAAAACAACATCACAAAACCAAAAAGCTTAAATGCACCAAATTTACTTTGCATTTCGCTGCAGATAGCAGTTGGTCTTTCTGTTTCTAAAGCACTCATTATTGCGTTTACCCAGAGTTCTCAGACAAGAATCAGAGAAAGAATAGGGGATTTCTTTACCTCCAACTTCCCCACAACTACAGACTATTACTTTTAAAAATCTGTGTACTGCACTGCCAGTGACTCAGAAAGCTGCTTGGGGTTTTTTGTTTGTTTCAGAATTTGAGCCCAAACCAAGCAACCCTTTCTCAAAAAGGTCAAAATTCAAACAAAATTTTCATTTCTAGTAAAGGAACTTGTCAGGGTATGCCGCATGCTGACCTGAGAAGATTAAGGCTGCCCTTGAGGATGCTGAAGCATTGTAAACACTTCCTAAAAAGCTGACCTCTTTTTGGCTGCTGCCCTCAGCACCCAAGTCTCCCCTTCGAGTAAGAACAAAATCAAACCAGCAGATTTGAAGGTAAATCTAAGAGTATGCACAGACTTATTCCAAAAGGATCCCATCTACCTTCTAGGGGACAAAAAAATATTCAAACCCAGTTCATTAAAAAATGACATCAAAAAAGCCAGAGTTTGTTGCCTTCCTCTTGTCCTATCCTATTTACCTCCTTCCTCATAGCAAGAAAAGATTGAGGGGGTTAAGGGCAGTTTAAAACTGTTCTCTCTCATTTTAGAATGGTAGCCTGTGTTTGGTCTTACACCTTTATGACTGACAGCAGTCATAATATGAAAGTAGAATAAAACTGAAATAAAGAAAGTAGTACATTGGCCTACTTTAACAAAAATTTTCTGTACTCAAAGAAAGGTCCTGACTGGACTCCAGAATGACAGGACACTGGAACAGAAGCCGCTTTGTGACCTCAGAAATTCTTTCCTCAGCTCCAGTGAAACCGTTCCAGATGACTGTAAGCCCATGACAAAAACTTGTGCACATCAACTGGAAAATAAGAATTAAATTGCCAAAGAGTAAGAGGAGGAAAATTCCTATCACTTCTGCCATTTACCTACTTCTGGTGTGTAGTACTTGAGGTATCTACCTAGCAAGAAGGTCCCTTGGAAGCTAACCAGTAGGTTCCAAGAGGGTTATGTATATAAGCTCTTCACTCATGAAAATGTAGCCTGTAGGGCTACCATATCAGGAATATAACTTTTTTGGAAGCAAGCATTACTGAACCAGGTTGCAAATATTACGTATACATTTAATCTGATGATTTCTTAGATGCAAAATGCGCAAGCAGCACCAGAACTGACAAATTATCTTCCTTTCTCCCATCTCCTGTTGTTAGGCTGTGGAGCCAGATCTCCCCTTTGGTCCCACATTCCTGGTTGCATAGATGTTAACCAGGCAGGGAAAACTGCCTGTTACAAAACCAAAATACCTGATCCAACATCACACCAGCATTCTTCCACTTCTTACAAATGCCCCTCCCAGCTACTGAGCTCTGCTCATTCTTATCAACTACCATACACTGTTGAGGTCTAATGATTTCAAGGTACCTTAAATCTTGAACGGGTTCAAAAAGTCACAGAACAAAACAAAGCAAGTGGTGATAGGAAAATCTGCATCTCCCTGAATGCGTCTGAACACACTAACCACAAACAGAATCAGTCTCTTATCAACTCAAGATAGAAAATACAACAGATAGCAACAGCAAGTCTTTACTGTCAGTACTTCGGGACTTGTTTGCCTCAGAAAGGGAAGTGTACTGCATGCACTCACTAACAGCTGCATCAATAAAAGCATTCTCATATATTTTTAGGTAGAGACAGCTAGTCATAGCATCATAGAATCATGTAAGTTAGAAAAGACCCTTAAGATCATAAAGTCCAACTGTTAAAGTAATTCTGCCAAGTCCACCACTAAACCATGTTCCTAAGCCCCACATCTACACGTCTTTTAAATATCACCAGGGATGGTGACTCCACCACTTCCCTGGGCAGCCTGTTCCAGTACTTGACAACCCTTTTGGGGAAGAAATTTTTCCTAATTTCCAATCTTAATTTCCCTGGCACAACTTGAAGCCATTGCCTCTTGTCCTATTTGGACAAGATGCCCACCTTGTTACAACCTCCTTTCAGGTAGCTGTAGAAAGCAAGTAATTCCAGAGTATTTGATCAGAAGAAAAGGGTTTATAAGGCTAAAAGTTCATGGACATTGCTAAAATGAAGAACAGTGCTTAGCACGGCATATGAGACACATGGCTCCCATCTGCCTTCCTAGCTTTACTGAGCTCACTGGAGTAGCATGCCTGGTCTATAGTCAATGTACCAGTTGCAGTAGGCTGTCTTCTCTCTCGTTTCTGCTCCTCAACAGCACACTTGTGTCTTGGCCCCTCCTTGTCTTGCCTGAGACAGAAATTCACTGCATAACACAAGCCTGTGGACTTCCGTCCTCACAAAGCAGGAAGTTGAGAAGTCTGACAATATAAAGTTCACAGTAAAATCTAAAATAAAAAGCACCTGGTGACAGAACAAGACAAAACTGCGGCATTAGCAGAAGTGTATTTTCTACATCTTCTACTGCCAAGAAACTTACTTTGGATCAGTAATTGTTCAGAAAAATGGTGTGAGACAGCAATACTTCGTAAGTATAAATGGATGGAAGGACAGACTCACTGGTGAAGAGCACCAAGTATACATGACAATCCACCTTCTTGTCTCCATATAGAACCATACAATAGTTAGGGTTGGAAAGGACCTTAAGATCATCTAGTATCAACCCCACACCATTTAGGATTTCAGGGCCACTCCTCTTGCTCTCTCTCCCTTGATTACCTACTCCAATTATAAAACTATTAGATGGAAGTATAGGAAACCTTAAATGCTGTGCTCAGTTATAAGAGATTTTCAAGAAGTTTTATCTAGTGAGGAAGAGATACCTATTTGCATATTTTCAATAACTGAGAATGAAGACACTTGTAGTTAAAATGTACCTTGTGATTCAGTCTGGTTTAGTGCCATACACTCATCTTAATGTCAAGTATTTCCAAAGAACTTCCTCTTTAGTTGGTTCATATGCAGAACTTCCTATATAATTTCAAAAACACCCAAGCTTTGACAAAGTATAACATAACTTTTTACACCCTTTTTTCTTACAGACATGTAGTGAATTTCTAGTGTTTAAGAAAGTAAACAAACTTTGTTTATTCAATGAAGATACAATGATCTCATGATATCCCAATTTAGCACTGTACATCAATCAGATTAAAGGGCTACTTCCCCATACAGATGAATCTCCAGAGCATTTTAGGCTCTGAAGAGTTACCACAGAAAGATGTTGTAGTTGATTACATTGTTAAAATGGAGAATTATTGGCTGGCAACACAAAATGCATTTAGTTATCATAACCTACAACCTCATCCACCATATTGTATGACGCACAATGCTAAGCAGAAAAAATGGAGCACACTGGAAACTGGCACAGGGCAGAAAAACTGCCCTTGCAATTTTTCAGTTTCTTATCTCACTAGTAGTAATCTTGGCTTACTACTGGTCCTTCACATGAAGTTTCCTAACCTCTTCCCTCCACTGTATGAAGCCAAAAACTCCATCCCCTTCCCTCATATCCCTCTGAAGTTGTACATGTTTTAGAAAAAGGAAGCAGCTGTAGTTTCTCTTTTGCATTAGGTAAACCTAACTCAGAAGCTCTCCAGTATTTTACATGACAAAGACGTATGCTCCATTACTGAAGTATCTAAAATCACCATACTTGATTAAAGCTAAAAAAGGAAATCAAATGGGAAAAACAGTAGACAGATTGGTGCAGACAATGATGTTGAAAATTATTTTACCTAATGGTTAGAACTTGACTGCAAATACTTAATTTGTTTTGAGTAATTTAAGCATATTAATCACATGTATTCAAGACTGCTATTTTTCAGAGAGCAACAAATTGAAAGCAAAGAGCTTTTTAAACCTATTTTATCTGCTTTATCCTTAGTATGTTCTGAATGCTATAAAACTAGAATCAAAACAAGGGGTTAAAGTTTGTGTCTAGATTCTGTATTTTACCTTGATTAGAGAAACACATTTCTCAAATCAAGAGAGAACGTGTGAAAACCACCCACCAAATAAAACCATTACATATGTTATTTTCAATTTGAACTTATAACCTGCAATATAACACAACAGATTATAATGCTTGAGTTTCCTTTGTGGAAACAGTCACTAAGAGTATAAACAACCTTTTGTATTAGTTAGCTTGACAGAAAAATAAGATCATAATAATGATAAACGAATTATCTTATATTTCAAGTTGACTGGGCTCATAAATTTCCCAGATACCTTGGATTTTTTTTCCTTCAGGGTCCACCAATGCTATCTTCATTGGTCAGGTGCAATCCTTACCAGATCTCACGCATTCTTTGTGTGCAAGCTGCCATTTCAGCACATATCTTCTTAACTTGTACTTGTGACCTAAGGATAGGTTCCCTCAGGTCTCTGCTAGAGCTCTGCAGGTGACTGTCATTACATTGTTAACCAAACCTCTTTACATAAAAAGTAATGATTGGATTTATCTGCCCCAACATACACATCTATAATTTAAAAGCCTACTTGTGAGCTGGTTATTTAAAGTTGGTTTCAGAGTTAACAGCAAGAAACAGGCACTGTTAAGATGCAACTCATCCTATGGCAGATTATCTCCAAAGTACAGACACAGCTGAATGATTCCCTCTCTAAACAATGGCAACAACGCAACCATGATGGTGTACATGTACAGGCTAGAAATACATCATAGAAGCTATCTACCTATTACTGAACCAGTTGGCACAGTTTACAAGGTAGACCAAATTTTGGGCACAGAACCTTTCCTCAGATCTGAGGGAGAAACTGAAAACTTAGGAGTGAAATACAAACTGAAAAGTAAAATCCATTTATCTATAGTATCTTGGAAGCCAAAGATAGAAAAGAGAAAGTATGTTATATGACACATTATTACCCTCTCTCCTCCTTTCCCACTACTTTCTCCTTCTAGAATTGGAAATATCTGCATCTCCCTTGATCCGAAACAATTAAAACTTCCTTCCACCTTAACATTTCCTCTACGCCATATGGATCAACCACTTTCCTCCTCAGATGCTTTAGCTGATGCAGGAGTAAATGTCATCTTAGTTATAATGTGTTTACATGTAGCCATCTAGACATGAGCAAGGTGTCTAAACATCCACCACAGATGGGGTTAAGTCAATACAGTCAGTAGAATGTAGAGACAACTCATCTCAAAATTAAGTTACCTACAGTCACTCAACTGAATATTGACCATTGTCCACATGAAAATACATCAGTTTTGGGTGGGATACAGCCAAATTAACTAGGCTTAGTTAGCTTACATATGGATATCTGCACCTGCCCTAAGGTTAGGAGGCAGGCAGACAATGCTTCTTTCTCATTTCCTAATCTCTGTTATTCTGTTGCTTTTCCATTTCTTATTTCAAGGTATGCACTTTACAACCTATGTCCTGAGCTTCCTGCACTGCCAGCAGGACGAGGTAAGTGATCCTTCCACCTGTCTCAGCATTGATGAGACCGTACCCAGAGTACTTGATCCAGTTCTGCACTCCCTAGCACAGGAAGGACATGGACTTGCTGGAGCAAGTCCAATGCAGGGCCATGAAGATGACTATACAGAGCAGCCCAGCGTATCTTGAGAACAACACTCATGAGATGTTTAATGGGATTTCTTGATGGTGTCAAAGATGCTGGGTAATCAGCTGAAAATGACATTTCAGCTCACTACACCACTGGTGCATACACTCAGCCTTAGTTAACAAGTGGCAGATCCAACCCCAACCACGCACACTGAATTCAAACCCAAGGGTTCAAACACCAGTTGCAGTTAAAGATAAGACACCAGCAGGAAAACTTAAAATGATCTATGTTCTCCCATTTGTTTACATTTTCCTAAAAATTCTGTTTCTTACTACTGGAAATGATAAAAATGTGTTCCCCTTTGATTGTCCAGTGTTTTCACAAAACTAGACTTAAATAAATAGGCAATAAGAAGGCTTCAATGTACTTATAAAACTATTTTAAGTTTAAAAGAAATTGCTAGGGATACCCCATTTTGTGTCATTTTTTCAAGTCAGAAATGACTGTGAAGCAGTCTGTTACCAGGTATTTGGGTGAAAACAAGCTCAAGACGAAAAACAGCAATGACAGCTTTTTTAAAATGACAGCTTTTTTTTTTATTGCATTAGATTTTAGTTTATGCAACAATAATAGTCATAACAGTAACACATCATTTCATTATTTCTTAATACCGTTTCACTTAAATGTCATACTTTTAAGTTTTGCCTTCACTATCACTTTTCATAATTCCAAATTGAAAAGAAGGAATGAGATTTCACTTACTGCAAATAATTATCTTTATCTACCCTGAACTCCAATTTGAATATTGCTTGGCTATAAATTAACAGCATAGAAAGCAATTAATACATAGCCTTCATATATTTTTTAAAATTATTCAAACTGAGTAGTATTAGACTAACTTTATTCTGTGTCACCAAAGCACTACCACAAGACATTTAACTAGATGTAAGTAGACTTATCTGAATCACCATATATAATTACAGAACGACAAAGGATTCAAAGGATATCATGCTTTGACATCGACTAAAAATCTGCATATGACTAAATGTGGATGCCTGGAGGATGTCCAGACTAACTGGTGGATGAAGGATGCATGGCAGGACATGTTTGTGGACATAACTACATTAGTCAAATGGAAATAGATTGTGTGACTTTCATGATGTATCTGCATCTCTAATATGAAGTTTCCTAATTTTATGACATAAGCCCCACCCCCCCAATCATTAAACCAGATCTGGACTGTAAGTAGCAAGTATTGTATATTCTTGGCAGAACACAATAAACTAAATTAGCTTCATAAATTATGGGAGTGACAACATTACAGGTTACTGATTACATTGCACTTCTGAACTCCTTTACAGTCTACTTCTTAGAGTCTCTCTTTTTTGTAAATGAGCATCATGTATTTAAACAGCATGTTTTACACAACATACCAGCAACTGAAATTACCAGGCCCATATCGACATACCAAATAATTGAGAGGTACTCTGGTTTTATGTAGAGAGTAAATAAGTTGCCTTTAAGAGTGTATTCCTATGTTGATTCAAAATTAGAGATAATTTGAAAACAAGAAGCTCAAGGCGGTACAATCCTGAGCTTGTCTACACCCTGCCTGGAATACACAGGGAAGTCTAACAGTATTAGCAAAGATGAATAAGGAAATCAGCCTCAGCGTCACATCTTGTACCTGGAAAGTCAGATCCCAGATCCCATTTAGTCTAAGAGTGTTCATTACATGTTAAAATATGCATTGTGATTATTTAAATAAATCTAAACTCAGAACATGGTGAAGAGAAAGTGGAAACAGACAACAACCCAAACATCGTGCTGGCATCACCCATTTTAATACTGACATAAGCAGAAGTGCAACAAAAGCTGAATTGCAGAACAGAATCATATACAGTCATATGAATGTCTAAGTGATATTCAGAGCTAAAAATATACACAGTGAAATGTCTAACAGGCAGTGAACGAGCTGACTTGGTGTTCTTGCATTTACTCAGGCTTTTTGTACAAATACACGTGAATTACATTCCAAAAGATATAGTATGTTAGAAAATGTCAAGAGCAGTAAGAATTACAAAAATACATAGGCTGTTGGCATGATTTAACTTTAATTTGACTATGTATTTCTGTAATGGTACGTATACGTATATATACATATATATGGGGAAGAAATGTTTTACTGTAAGGGTGGTGAGACACTGGTACCCGCTGCCCAAAGAGGTGCTGAATACTCCACCCCTGGAAACATTCAGGGTCAGGCTGGACTGGGCTGGACTGAGCAACCTGGTATAGTTGGGGAAGTCCCAGCTCATGGCATGCGAGGGGCTAGGTGATCTTTAAAGGTCCTTTCCAACCCAAACTATTCTATGATCTGTACATTATCAAGTACCTACACTTGCAGTGTTACAAGGTGCCTTTGTAGTGTTTCATATCCCTCTTCAGATTATTTAATATACTGGGAAGCTTTACTCCTTTACCAAGTTTCCTCAAAGGATGACAAACTATCATTTCTAACAGAGGAGGAAAAGAGACTTCTCATTCACAAAAGTCTGACAGATATGCTGTGCAAAAAATGGCTGAAATTCATAACATGAACTTTCCACACTGTAGCAGTTATTACAAAACTGCAAAGTGCAGCTCTTGCTGCAGAAAAGGAAACAAGACTGAAAAGACATCATTGTGCTTGTGACAAATTTGTCATGAATTAAGTCTCTGATGATGACTTAACTCGTGCTGACTGAAGCAATATGAAAACTTCAAATGACAGAGAAAGCTCTATTTAGTCCTATGGACTTATACCTATGGACTTTAGTCCTATGGACTATGCATAACATACTACCAATCTGCAATTAAAAAAATAGGTCATTTATGAGGAAGAATCCTAAGAAAGTTGCATTATACAGCTAAATAAAACCGCACAGTAAAAGGGTATTAAGATAGGAATTGCATAATATATTATAAAAAAATATTTGGCCATTCTTTAAAAGTCTGTATAACAAAATACACATACAGTTCATGCCACCAGGAAAGAGGGAGTTAAAACGCCTTTCCTTTTCTTTTCTTTCCTCTCTAGTGAACACCTGTTCAAAAGGAAGGGCTATTAAAAGAGTCAGAAGAGTAACAGGAAGGGTACTGTGTTCAGAGGAAGTCACAGATCCTTAGGCAGGCACAGAGGCTTGAACTGATCTCCATGAGAGAGAAATTCTGGCTTGTTAGTTGCACTGTTTTCACTGGTATTTATGGTACGACCAAACTGCTGAGCAGACTTCACTATTTACTGCTCTGTCACTCCTGTTAGCTATACTGCAAAGCTCATAGAGTATTTTGGAACAGTCAATGTAAATGGTAAGACAGCAAACTACTGAGTTATAGCAGCAATACGTGACGCATCCACAGACATTTTCACTCTGAGCTCACTGCAGATTCAAATTAGTAGGTTCTAAATAGCAAGGACACAATTTAAGTCCTTCTTCAGACTGCATCAACTTTGGAAGCAGTGGCACTTTCAGTGTCTGAAAGTAGACAGTATTTTGGGCTAAGAAATCAGAGCCTGAGCTCCTAATTTCTAAGTTTGTAAAATTTTAAAAGAAGCTGTCGTATCTAACAATCTGGAAGATTCAGTACAATCTGTTTTAGCACTAAGTGGCTTCTGTACTAAGAACAGTGATGGGAAGGAAAAAGACCACACTAATTTTATCTGATTGGTGTGAAGAAAGTGATTGCACACCCTGACTGCTGTTATCACAGTGAGAAACAGCTATGCTACAGATCTGCTAAGAACAGCAAAACATGAAAAATCCTCACAGCACAGTTGTTAAAAGCTGCTTTTGGGACTAAAAGCTTGAGACCTTTTGAAAATAAAAAAAAACCACCAAAACAATAAGGTAAGCATTTCTACCCTTTCCTCAATAGTCTCATATTTGTGGGTCTCAAACTATAGCCATGGCAGCAAAACTAATTTTAGTGGGTCAGAGAGCAGTGGCACCCTGCAAATATTAACCAGCTCATTTGTTTGTCTGTCAGTTTAACACCAGACAGACAGTGCTTTACACCTTCGGAAGCTAAACAGAAAAACCTTCTACTTACCATCACACATAAAAAACATTACTCAGTAATTTCTATTCTTTATGAGCCTAAACATACCGCACTGATTGTACACATGGCAGAGTGTTTTAAGCAGCTCAGGGTTTTTAAAACAGTGAAACTTACCAGTCCACTTAAGGCTAAAATCCAGATGTAGGAACCAGAGGTTAAGAGCTAGAAGACAAGAGCAGTGATTTAAAATTTTGATTTTACAAAGAACTACTCTGTTGCATATTATACAGACTATGGACTTATCATGACAATGGGAGAAGTCAAAGACATTTATCTTGGTAAAAATTCAGTTTAACTTTAAAAAAGGATGCATTCCAGAAGTAGCAGAAGTGGAAAAAATCACAGGGATCCAACAATTGTTCTCCTTCTCCAGAACAATACATTTTATTTTCATATAGCATACTAAGTATAACAGGATGTCAGTTATAGGCTGCACAGAAAAACAAGTCTGAAAGATAGACTGATGCAAAGGAAATGACTCAGCAGCAACAGGAGAAATGCTCCAAGCAGGGCAGACAGTGCAAGTGAAGCTCTCAGATGTACAGTTATGGAGAAACTAAGCATAAGCATTAAAATTAAAGAAATAAAGTTCTCACCCAGTGGCATATCTGTCAACATGAAATCACAGAAATAGGCTGGAGTGAATCCTGATGAGCCAACGGGGCAGCCCATTGTTTCTAGTAAAGTATGTGATTAATCACCCGAAGAAGGTTACTACTAACCAGAAAAATGGGCTGAAAACTAGACTGATACTGGTTACTAAAATAGTTCTGCATGATGCAAATTGGATCATGAGAACACCTGCCCTCTAGACTTCTGACTACAGAAAGAGTGACTTGAGATAAGGGCACAGTTTACAAATGATTTTTCCCTTAGCCTCTGTGTGACAGCAGCAACCGTTATATATGCAGCAGGGAAACGTGACTTGTGCTGGAGGTGGTGTGCGTATGAAAGCAAATGGCAAAGGAAATGATGGAGAAGAGCTGAGACAGTACCATGTCTTTCCTAAAGACTGGAATAATAGAGGTATTGATGTGTTTGGAAGAGATGAAAAAAGATTTATGAAAGATCAAGAAAATAAGGTGCTGGCACAGAAGTTGAAGGTATCCAAAGGCTGAACAGCAAGAGGGATGAATGAAATGTACATATGGAGCACAACTCAATATTCTGAAACTGACCATTCATTCTAAAATACTCTCTACCAGACTTCACATAACTATGGTGCTTTCTGTTGCTAGTACTACAGCTATTTGTAAGGCCCTGGAATCTATAAAAATGAGTATACTTTCTTGTAAGTTTGCACATCTCCTGTTTCATAATTCAGTGTCTGACATGAGTGTCCATTCATTTCTAGGCTGCTGGAGGTTTTTTTTTGAACAACTACTGCCTTTCTGTATCAATATAGTACCTATATTTTCCATTCATATTTAACATAATACTACATGATATTGCTATGCTCTGTGTTACACTATTATAAATTATCTGTCGCATGGTAATGATTGACATACAAATAATAATTTATATAAAAGTGGAATTCAGTCAAAACCTTTATTATTTACTGACAGTTTTACTGTATTTTATAGCTTTGTTTGTCTCCTCAGATAAGAGGAAAATAAACAAAATTAAGAATATAAGCAAATTAGAAAGGTGAAAGAGACATAAGCCTTAGCATCAGGTTCTGTTTTCATTTATTTTCATCCAGTTAATTTTGTTGACCCCAAGAAAAATAAACTGTAGGACTGCCTATTATGTTTTCCTGCACAAGACAATGAAGACAGAAGGCAATGGAAGAACTGCTCACCACTTCAGTATGTAGAAATGCAACACATGTTCTTCAATACTTCAGTTGATGGGACAGTCACTAGCTAAACATATGTAGAATCATACATGTGGAAGCATCAAAATTCAGAGAGTAACATACAGAAATACAAACTACTACATTGGTAAGAACAATATGCAAGTACATACCATACCTGTAAACCCAGTATGTAGACCAGTGTCTTGTTTGTGATGGAAAAGTAGCCTAATACTTGTGTTACCTGCACTCTTGGAATGGAGGAATAAAATGGTACAAACAGTGCAAATACAGGACCCAAGCTGCAAAAAGAGACACAGATGTTTAATGAGAATGCTATCAGCAACAGTAGTGTAGAACAATCAAAAGTAATTAATCCTAAGTGCACAATAATCAAAATGTAATACCACCTTGCAAAAGAAAGTTCTTCCTTAGGAACCAATGATGAGGTAACTTGCAACATTGAGAACAACAGATTTATTAGCAAATAAGAAGAACAGGTGACAAAAGCTATCTGATTTCCAAATATTTACAACTGGAGGCAGCAGAGAAGGCAACAAATTTAGTCTAGTAGCAGACTGTTTCTATAAATTACAGCACACAAAAAGAACATCAATGGTCTCCTGCATCAGATGAAACATCTTTAATTCAAATGTACAAATGGTAAGGATTATACCTTGCCCAGAAAGTTATGGAAATCACTTCAAGTATGGTATTAAGCTCCTATTATTTACCCAGGTGTTAGAGGATTTCCAATAGACTGCAGTCTGTAAGATGGAAATTTCAACAGTTTGATTTAACTTTGCCTATGGCCCTACAAATAACTTTCTTGAGGTCCTCACCATAATCACAACACAAGATGCATATCAAGTTTTGAAACCATCACTGGAAGCAGTTACAGAGAATTTATGACTCAAGCACCTTTTAAAATGACCAGATACTTAGGTTGAAGTTGTGAACATGAACTAGTGCATTTCATCCATCTACTCAGATACAAAGCCTGTGTTCCTCAGGATAAAACACCCAGAAAATGAACCCACGTATTAAAGCTGACAAGAAAGGCCACAGCAGAACCAATGGCAAAGGCATGGATGTAAGAGATTCTAGAATAAAAGATACTTCCTATGGTAGAGAAGGCAAAGGAAAAAAGGTCCCTTTGGGTAGACACAACCTGCTCCATTGGTGGAGCTGTGTTGGTGGTGACCTCCAGGCAGCAAGCTGCAGGCAGGGGAGGCTATCAGCAAAGTGTATGTCTCCCCCAGCCAAATCCTTGCTTGCAGTTCTGTGCTATCTTGCATCTGACAGGCATGGGATGCTGCACAGGGTGATTTTTTTACTGCTCACTAGCTAATCAAAACTTTCAAGAGCTGCAGTTTCCACAAGCCAGTTTACATCAAAGGGATGTTATACTCAGTAGGTATTCTTCAAACTGCACAAACTAGACCCTAAGTAATTTGATGTGTTCACTCAAAAATACATTTCCCTTCAGGAGGAACTACTGATAGGAGTAATACTATGTGAAACAATGGTCTGAATATTAAGACTTACATTTCCTGAATAACTGCTAAATGCAACACCCGCAGCTATGAAAAAACCCACCCTTTCAAATATTATTTTTACTCAATAAGCTATGGCTTAAGAGCGTTTTGTTATCATTTTGTTACATATTTGAAGTTCAGCTTGCTGAAAAATGTCCTGTCTCAGAACTTAATATGGTTTAATTGAAACATTTTTAGTACCATCTGTTTAACAACAGTCAGATGTACTTTAATGTATAGAAAATGCTAACTCAGGAACTACTAAAAAACATTCACCTTTGCACATAATCCTTCTTACATAAACAATGTAATGTTTTATGTCAAACATTATATATCTGCATAAATACACACAACATTCTTAAAATTAATTTAAACTACTTAAGTTGTGGGAGTCAACCAGCCCAGCTGTAAGAGTGGAACAGACAATAATAATTCATCAGAAGTGCTTCCACTGTAGACAATATTCACTAAAGTAAATCAGGTTTTATAATTGAAGAGAGAAAAAAAAAAACAAAGAAAAAAGATATTTTCCCTTCTTAGAATTATTTATTTCTATGCTTACCAAACAACCTGGAGGACTACCAAAACTGTGGCATGCTTTTCAGGTTTTAGTCCTCCTGTGACAAATAGTGACTCAGACACAAACATTTCACATGCAAGACTGCACTCAATCATAAGATGCGAAAGTACAAAAAGGAATTTCCCCTAATTGCAAGTGCATTTTAAAAGGAGATTAGAGAATTTTGAAAGTTTCCTTATATGCTAATATTCACCATTAACGTCAACAGAGACCACAGAAAGCAGCACCCCAGTCAGAAGAGTGATCTGTGCAATTCAAAATCCAGTGCCTGACATCACTCAGTACCTGACAGTTTAGAGGAGCTAGAGGAAGCCTAGTAATGGACCTTTTCTCTAAACCAGTAAGTTTCTAAGCACATCAGATATGCCTCTAAAGTTATCCCTTTTTGGTTTTTAGACAAGGCTCACATCTATTGTAAATAGGTATTACCCAAATATCCATTCAGGAATCTTTTTAAAAACGTCAAACCTAGTGCCCTTCAAAATGCTTTGTGAAACTCATTGGTAGCAGGTGACTTCACTGTGTGAAAATTTATTCCAATTAATATTAAACTTTTGCCCTCAACTTTCATTATATAATTCTGTACTTTGAAAATTTCAATTAATCTTTTCTGTTGCCTTCAGAATTTTCTATGCATTACTCATGCCTTGTCTTCAAACATCTATATGGAGATGCAGGTCTGTCACAGAAGTTATCTATGCAACAATATTAGAATACGACTGACATAGTAAGGGACAACAAAAGGATGGCTAAGGAAAATGTGGACCAACTGCCTGGTGGAAAAAGGGACCTAGTGACAGAAGACATGAAAAAAGCCAAAGTACTCAATGCTTTGTCCTACCTCAGTTTTCACTGGTTAGTTTTGCCCTCAGGCCTCCTGGGTCCCTGAGCTTCCTGTGGGACTGAACCAACATCTACTGTAAAAGAGACAGCTAGAAAGCTCTTGAGCCTATCTGGCCACAGAGAAGTCAACAGGGCAGGATGGGATGTACCTCAGGGCACTGAGGATGATGGCCAGCATTGCTACTGAAACATTGTGGTGGTCAGGGCAGGTTCCTGATGACTGGAAAAATGCAACTGTCACACCCATCTTCAAGGGGGGCAAGAAGAGGATTCAGGTAGTCACAAGTTTCACCTCTGTCCCTGAGAAAGTTACAGAACAAATCTCCTGGAAGTCACTGCCAGCCACATGATGGACAAGGCGACTGGTAATATCCTGAATGGATTTAGCTAGGGTGACTCTGGCGCTGTGGGCAAGGAATGGGAAGGCAGCAAATGTTGTAACTTGTGGACTTTAGGATGGCATTTGACTCAGCCTCCTCTTGCGTCCTTGGAAGAAAAACCAGGGAGGTATGGACTGGATAAGCAGATCTGACGGAAACTGGCTGCACTGCCAGACTCAAAGGGCTCTGACCAGCAGTACAATGTCCAAGCAGCAGCCAGTTACTAGCAGCTCCCTTCAGGGATCTACACTATGGCCAACACTATTTGTTGTCTTCATTAACGACCTGGATGATGGGACAGAGTACACCTGCAGCACATTGATGAATGGTATCAAATTGGAGGGAGCAGGACTACATTCCTTGATGAGCTCGTGAAATGGACTGACAGACACCTTATGGAGTTCAACAAGAGCAAATGCGGAGTCTTCCACCTCGGTTGGAACAACCCTGTGCAATAGTACAGGCTGGCTAGAAAACAAATTTGCAGGCAAGGAGCTGGAGAATCCTTTGAATGTTAATCAGCAGTTCACCCTTGCAGGAAAGCTCAATTTTAAACAGGGCTGCTTTACCAAAAGCATAGTTATCAGGCCAAAAGAAGTGACTACTCAGCACTTCTGAGCCTGAACCTCAATCACTCTCCACTTCTGGGCTCCTTGCTTCAAGAAAGACATTCAAGACTGAGTCCAGCTGGGGTAATGATGGTCCAGTACTGTACTAGGTTGCCTGGAGCTGGAACATCCATCCTCAGAGACACACAGCCCCACACGACACAAAGACATACTTTGAACCTAGTGTCAAACTAGATGACTGACAGAGGTCCTGTCAAACCTAAGCCACCCGATTAGTCTGTGAATAATCAAAGCCTTCTTCCTGAAGCTCATAATCACTGGTGGGATTTCTTTTCCTGTATTTCACTAGACAGGTACAGATATCCGTCCATGTACTGTAAATAAAAGGACTGGTTCTTAACTCTTTTAGTTATGTTAATTAATTGTTTGGTAACATAGATTCAATGTCTACAAGTGCAAAATACTCTTTTTGAAGGACTACTTCAATTCTCTCTTTCCCTTAATTTTTTTCTTGTTGTTTTAATTTTTCCTTTCATTCCTTTTAATCTTCTTTCCTTTACTTTCTCTCCTTTTCCAGAGACCTTTGTCGAGGCCCTTTGCTCATTATACTATGAGAATATCAAGAACATCCTTTCAAGTGCCATGATTAACTATAAAAATGAGATGCCTTGTGCAAAGAAAGGTAATAAACACAAATACTTGTTTTCTCTAAACTGAGTTCATGCCCACTTCATGTTTAGGAAGTTCATTTCAGTCATGCGGGTTAGAAAATAAAATGTTCAAACAAATCATAAAACTTTTCTAGAGTTTGAATACCCTCTATGGACACCATTTTCATCCCAAAGGTGTCCTGTAATAGCAGGCTCTACAACAGTGTTATTCTCATTTCGAAGAGCATGTTGATTTTCAACATTTGCAATGGAAAAGAAACACAGCAGACCAGATGGGAACATTCTACATTATGTGTAGTAATGATATTGGTTTTGATAGGGAAAAAAAACCACAAATGTGAAGAAACAATAACCTTGAAAAAATAAACCAGAGATGTAGAAACTACTGGCAGAGAAGAAAGAATCAGGCTGAGTACTTCTCATGAGAGAAACATGCTACTTAAAGTTTAGGCGGGTAAATATTAAATGCAGATTAAAATAAAACATTTTAACATTAGTAAATATATGCAACAAATACACAAAAAATGGTTCTGAAATGTATGAACAAATGGGTAGAAAGCTAAATGTTACTTCTGCAAAAATACCTGCTGCTGTCATTCAAAGTTCTGCGGGACTAAACTTGCAGAAAGAGCCTGTTATTTGATTCAGGATGACTCACTACACTTACTAACTGCAGTGCTGCATTTTTCCTTCATTTAAGTTCCTCATAAAAACATTAACC